AAACACACTACCTCCGAGCTTTAAAAGGCCTCATCTCCCTCCTGGGCCAAGGATCCTGGCAAGATAACAAGGTGCTCTGAGACAGCGGAGCCAATCCCGCTCTTCGTGCGAGGCCGCAGTGAAGAGGGGTAAGGAGCACAGAGGGTTTTTGCCTCTCCTCCTCCACCGGTCTGCCCCGCCCCCTGCTGGCAGACTTTTGTGTCCCGCTGACTCTGAGGGGAAAGTTCTAGCTGGTCCCTGGCCGAAAGCACCTTTGACCCCGCGCTGGTTTTTTTTTGGGGGGGGAGGGCGGGGAGTCCCTGTTTTTTTCTTTTTACTCACATGCCTCACATCACGTCAAGGCTAGACTGTTGTCTTTACTTTTCTCAATCCCATCCCCTCTTACCTTATTCTATGTAGAATTGTTTGTGTCAGAGTTTCAGTTTACACAGATGGCATTGTACTCTACATCTCTTATTTCCTCCTACCCCCACTCAACTCTGTTTGATACTAAGTTTCTCAAAGAGTTGCTTTGCCATATAAATATAGTTCCTTGCTCCCTGCCGTGGCATTCTAATCTCCCGTTTGATGGACATGTAGGGGCTGCCAGTGACCTTCTACATCACTTGGTGAGAATGTCTCTGGCCCTGTGAGATTAGAGAATACCCCTTACCCTCATGCTTAGTTCACAGCTAAACTGGCAACAGCGTTTGCCTTGAGATAGCTATAATTATATGCCTCACTCTACAGATTAAGAAACTGAGGCATAGAGAGGTTAAGCAATTTGAGCCAGGTCTGATTTAAAAACCTGTTTTCTCAACTATTAGGTCACCACTGCCTTTTCTGTTCAAAACACAGACTTATAGATCAATAAAGAAAAAAAACATATTAGGGCGTTCTGTCCAGAAATAACAAGGATCAGCAGATTAAGCCTCTGCCCCTGCCAGAGGGCATTTAGAAGGTGGGAGAAGGCCCTTGAGGGAAGGAGATAAGGAAACCAAGGAGAAGCAGTGGAGGAAGCATGAGGAGACCCCCACACAGGAGAAACACTCCCTCCCCCAACCCAGCAGTGGTTTGGGGTCATTTGATGTTCCCGTTAGAAGCCACAGGTTCTGCCTTCCTCTTGGTCTGACGGCACCAAAGCATTGCCACATTTTACCTGTTGTCTTTGAAAATGGGATTGGCTCGTTAACCACTCTTCACTCTTTATGGCTGTATTCTAACTCCTTAGCAGGGAGTTCATGGATCTCCACCACAACCTAATCTTTCCATCTTCTCTCTTCTACTCACGGGTTCATTGTCAGCTGTTCCACCTCTGTGTTTTGTTTTAGCTATGCCCTGACTTGGCTCCTTTCCTTTTCCCTCTGCCTACATAAATACTTCTGGAAATACCACCCCTCATTGTCCCATTACTTTCCACATATCTGGACTTGTGTCCCTCATAGGTTGTTAGCTCTTTGACAGTAGGGATTGATAGCTGGGTCTAGCCGTCAAAGCAGGCATATCTTTTCTGATTCTGTTTCCCCTTCTATATTGTAAGGAGTTGTTAAACCAATTAGTCTCTAGACTACCTTCCAGTGGTTTCTGTTGACTCCCACCAAATCACCTAGCCTGTGATTCAGGCCATCCAGACAGAAGTGACCCAAGGTCAGCTAAGAAAATCATCAGCCAGTGGCATGGTGGGTTTGGTAAGAGCCAAGAGGGCACAATGCAGACCCATTAGCACTGCTGGGGCAAAAAATCCCGGGCAATATTCCCAGAATTGGGGCTTGACGAAGAAGGCAGGGATCATGGCTGAGTTTTCTCTATTTCTCCAGGGCCTGGCATGTGGTAGTGCAAATGGAATGTTGTCAGATGAATGAATGAAAGCCAAAGACCATCTGCCTGGCTCCTCAGGGCTCTCAGTTCAGACTTTATACCTTGTTTTGGGCCCTAGACATTCCCCAGCATCTGTATCTTTTCCCTGCTCATTGTACCCACAAACTCTGACTAAACATTTATGTGCATTATATCATTAATCCTCATAAGAACCTTTTTATCATTTCTATTTACAAATGAGGAAATTAAAGGTTAGAAGGGTAAAGTAATTTGCCCAAAGCCATGGAGCTGGTGTGTGACTAGCTGTTGTTGTAGCCCCCAATAGACACAAGGACCACCAGAAATCAGTGAGTTATAGGAAACACACTCTTTATTCAGCCAGCTGGGTCTGCCAGGGGTACACAGACCCCAAATTAAGCAGCCCCAAAATGTAGAGGTACAGGGTTTTTTAACCCCTAAACTCCATTCTTCATCCTGTTTGAACATACAAGTCTATTTTTCTTCTTTTTACTAACTGTCAACCCAGAGGTCGG